GGGCATTGAAGGTAAGGGCAGTGGGCATGTGGCGGGCCCTGAAGGAGTAAGGGATGGGCCATGTTGGGCGCACGTGGGCGGGGCCCTGAAGGGTAAGGGATGGGCACGTGGGCGGGGCCCTGAAGGGTAAGGGATGGGCATGTGGGCGGGGCATTGAAGGGTAAGGGATGGGCACGTGGGCGGGGCCCTGAAGGGTAAGGGATGGGCACGTGGGCGGGGCATTGAAGGGTAAGGGATGGGCACGTGGGCGGGGCCCTGAGGAGGGGAAGGGGCGGACATGTGGGCGGGGCCCTGAGGCAAGGGGCGGGACTCTGGACAGGGCGACGGCAGGGCAGAGGCCACTCACGGTGGCCACCAGGTACTGTAGCGTCCCGCAGAGCCTCACGGCGCGGCTGAAGCGCAGCTCCAGGTACTGCAACGAGGAGCCGGGGGCTAGAGGTCACCGAGGCAGGCCCTACCCTGGGCGCGGCCCCTCAACTGCTCTCTTGTCCGCTGCACTTGCGCCGGACTCTTGCCCTTGGGGACCCCGCCGCGCGCACAAACCTGCGCACAGGTGCGATCCCGATGCCTGTGCACGCGGCGCGCGCCCTAGACGACCGACCCGTGCGTGTGCACGCGTCCTTCACTCACGTCTAATGGGGCCAAGCTCCTGGAACAGCCACTGCTGCGCGTACACCGACGTGCCCGCAGGCGCGCAATGTAGAGAGAGCCCAAGGCTAGTGGCAGCGGCCGCCTACTCAATACCTTTTAACCGCTCTACCCTCTGGCTGGAGGGAGGTCCTGTGATGAGCCCACTCGGACCGTTGGGAAACCCGAACAGAGAAGCACGCCCCTTGCCCCAGGTGGGAGGAAACGGAGAAGCCAGGGCAGGAACCTGGGCCAGAGGGTGCGCAGGCCCGGGCTTGTGGGGGCCAGTGTGTGACTGTCCACTCCTAAGTACACACCTGGTCGGGCCGCCCCGCCCCCGCGCTTCCACCCGGAGCCAGGTCGCCGGCTCCACTCTTCCTCCTTCCTGCCCCTTCCCCACGCCCGGGGCCTGTTCCCGGAACGCTCCCACCCGTCCGCCCGGGCTCCCCAGCTGAGGCACCGCGGAGCCGTCTGCGTGCCCCTGCGCAGCGGCTCAGAGCCCCGGGGGCTCCCCTCCCCCCAGGGTCCCCGCGGGTCACGAGGGTCCGGCCCGGGCGCTGCGGTACCTCGTAGGTGCTGGTGAGGCCCAGGCGGTAGAAGACGGGCAGGAAGAGCGCGGCGGTGAGCAGCGAGTTGAGCAGCTGGCCCAGGCACATCCAGAGGAACTTGAGGCCGTAGCGGTAGGCCTCGGCCGGCACGCCCAGCACCTGCACGGCGGACATGAAGCTGGCGGCCAGCGACAGCCCCACGGGCAGGGCCGCCAGGCGCCGGCCCCCGGTGAAGAAGTCCTCGGCGCTGCGCTGCCCGCCGCCCGCCAGCCCGACCCACAGCCCGATGCCGGCGGACGCCAGCAGCATGAGCGCGAAGACCGCGTAGTCCCAGGCTCCGAAGGTGGCCCGCGCCCCTGCCTCGACGGCCTCCATGCGGGCTGGTGCGGCGCCCGCGCGCCCAGGCGGGGGCAGCTGGCGGAGGCAGGGATGCGGGACGGCGAGGGCAGTGGCCGGACGCTCCGCCGCCGCGCGGGGACACGCGCCCGTCCCGCCCCGGGATGGGAGGCCGCGAGGGGCTCCCTGGGCGAGGGGTCTGTGGGTCCTTGCTGTCGCCGTCCGCCTCCCCGTCCCTCGTCTCCGTCTATGCGTCCGCCGCGCCCGCACTCAGGGTCCAGGGTCCGAAGCTAAGCGTTGACAGCCGGAGGTCGCCGCGGGGCTTAAAGGGGCAGCTTGCGATTGTGGGCTGCAGATTTATAGGGCTCGGGGCCACGGCGGCCCCGCCCCCAGACCTGAGGTGGGGGAGGAGTCACACCCTTTCCGCCCCGGACTGGGATAGACCCGGCAGGCCACCAGGGTGGCTGCAGGGGGTGGGGGTGGGGAGGCCTCCCAAATGCCCCTCACCCCCACACCTGTGTGCTGCGCGTGGCACTTTCTCCTGAGCAAGGCTGTCGCTATCAACTGGTTGACAGGTGGGGAAACTGAGGCTCAGGGAGGACAGGCATGCCACTTGCCCAAGGCCGCACAGCCTCCTTCAGCATTGAAAGCTCTGCTGTGCTTGAATACCCCGAGTTTTGGGGAGTTCACTCTCCCACAGGACTGGGGTTCACTTTCAAGGTTTGGGGAGTCCTGTAGAAAAACTGGCTCAACTTTAGCCCCTCCCACAACTGGCCCTGGGCCCTGAAGCCTCAGAGGGTGGGCGCCGCCAAGCCCAGCCCTTGGGCTACGCCAGGTGGGAGACCAGGGGTCCAGTCCCCAGCGGGTGCATACTTGGGGAAGGCCTTGCTTCTCTCCAGGCCTCAGTTTCCCCACCTGTAAATGGGGATAAACCGGCCCCCACCTCAGAGGGCAGATGGGACGGGGCAACACGAGCCGGGCACACAGCAGGCACCTCATTCATTCGAGAGTTGCCCGTGGCTGGCGGAGTGGAAAACGGAGGTTCCGGGGCGTCCATGGCTACGAACCGAATAGACGGAGACCGGTGCTGGCCAGAGAGGCAGGGGCCGGCAAGTGGCCGTGGCATGATGAGGACACCAAGGTCAGGGGCGCAGGGATGCGACCAAGGGACCCCCGCAGCTCTCGTCTTGAGGCCTTCTTTGTTGGCCCCGGGGGAGCCTCTGACATGGGGAGGTTCCAGGCCTCCAACCCGGGTGGTCCCCACCTCCAGCGGGGCGGAGCCTGAGTCCTGGGGCTGGCCTCCACCGGTCTGCACCGGCCACCCCGGCTGGGCCCAGCGTCCTCCCACGTGTCCCCAGACAACCCACAGGGCAGCCTTCCGTGTCATGGAGATTGCCGGGTGCGGCTCTCTGTGGGGCCCCTGGGTGAGTGGAGACCTGCGGACAGTGAGCTGGGCAGGGGCAGAGCTGGCGGGAGGGCGCGCTAAGCAAGGGGCCACCAGTGCAAAGGCCCTGAGGTGGGAAGGCGTGTTCTGAGGACCAGCCGAGAAGCCTGGAAGGCAGGAGAGTGGAGGGCTGAGGTCAGAGGCTATCTCCTGGGGGTGTGGGTTTCATTCTGAGGACACTGGGCAGCCACAGCAGAGCCCAGAGCAGGTGAAGAGCCCGGTAAGATTTCCAGGTTCTAACAAACCGGCCACGTGGCGGGCGGAGAGAAGCTGTGGATTTGGAACGGGTTCTGGAACCCAGAGGCCAGTGAGCGGGGAGCCCTATCGGGGTGGGGGCCCGCCTCCTGCGGGGGGGGGGGGGGAGGGGAGGGGCATACACATCCATTAGGCATGGGGTGGGTGCGTCCACTCACCCACGGGAGGCGGGCAGGCAGGAGCAAGTCACACCTTGCAGGACTGTGATTCCTGCTGTTGGAGGGGCAGGCAGGGCCCAGGCTGAGAAGGGCAGGCGGGAGAAGGCACAGGAGGGGCGCTGCCCCACCCGCGGCTGCCAGGGCCTCCCAGAGACCGGGCGGGGCAGGGGTGACAGGCTGTGAGCTGCTCTGCTCCAGCATGACTGGCTGGGTGGCCTGTCAGGCTCTGGACACCAAATCTCCTGTGAACTAGGGAATGACAACCACCGCCACAGCGGGATTTGGACCCGGTTCACTGGGAGTCTTCAAGGACATGCAGTTTGTCTTTGAACTGGGACTCCACACTCTATAAATGCAAACTCGTCCTCCTTGCCTGTGAGATCCCATCAAACTAGGGACCTAGGGTCCCAACAACCGTGGGTCTCAGATTCCACGATTCCCAGTCTCCCTTGGTTTGGGGTCTGGCTCTGCTGGCTCCTGGGGCCCCCACTTGTCCTGCTCACCATGGCACCAGCAGTCCTGACTCAGCACTGGGGGTGCAGGGCGGGTGTCTCCCCACCCCAAAGCTCCCAGCCCAGTCCAGGAACAGGACCTGGAGGGTCTCACACCTGAAGAGGTGGCGGGGTTCCTGGGTGGCTGCCCTCACTCACACTTGGGTACCCGGATGAGCACCGGCACGTGCAGGATGGCTCCCACCCAGTGCCACAAGGAAGAGCCCATTTCCCTCCGGGCCTTCGCCCTGGCTGGTCCCTCCCCCCAAACACCAGGGTGTTTGTCCCCTCAGGCTCCCCGGCTGGGATTAACACAGGCCCCACGAGCGTTCCAGGATGGCTGAGGCCGGAATGAGGGGTGGCGGGCAGGCGGAGCCGGATGCCACCAGGAGGACGGATGGTGACCAGGCAGGACTAGATGGACAGACGGCTGCGGAGCTGACGGGGATGGATGATAAGACGGGCAGTGGAAATCTGCCGGGTAGGATGGACACAGCTGGTGGGGCCCCGGCCCGCCCCTCCCCACCCTGCCGGCCTTTCTGGTCCTCTAACTCATCTGCCTCCCTCACTTTCCACAGGCCCGGGGCAGCCCCAGGCCACAGCCCAACAAGGCCATGCGGTGCGGGAGGCTCAGGCCCGGGGCAGCCCCAGGCCACAGTCCAACAAGGCCATGCGGTGCGGGAGGCTCAGGCCCGGCTGGGGGAGCCACCGCACAGGGCCAGGCACCCTGGCTCCTTACCGCTGCAGCACCTCCCTCACAGCCCCAAGCAGCTGCTGGAGCACTGGCCATCGTGCCCACATCCCAGCCAGGTGGGCATTTCTTAGAAATGGCATGTCGCCACTGCTAACAACCCTCAGCCAACCCCAACTGAAAGGGAGGCTGGGAACGTCTTTTCTAGGTGGCATCTAAACATGGCGGTCCTGTAACTGGCAGGACGGTTTGTGCCAGAAGCCACGCAAGATTGAGACTAGAAAAAAGAAAAGTTTTAGCTGCACCCCTCCACCCAAGTAGACTCTACGGAACCCCAAAAGATGTCCTGGAAGACTTAGACTTCCCCTTGCTTTTGGCCCGCACACGTGAAGAGCTCTTACAAAACAAGACGACCAGCAGGCCGGTAGAGCACGGGCCTGGGCACGGCTGAAGACACACTGCGAACGGCTCCGTCCCCATGCGGCCCATCTGCGGCGCACACTCAGGCCAGGGCTGGCCGAGTAGTGGCACTTAGGACCAACCGATCACAACCAGCCAGACCCCTCCGTTCCCCTCCACTCCCGCCCTCCACTCGACCGGCCCTCAGTGACCACAACAGGGCTCAGGCCGGCAGCTTGCCAGTCACCCCACCGGGTGCAGCCGAGGGCGTGCGTCACCCATCAGCGCCCGCCCCAGGTCCTGAACCCTGGGCATTTACCCAACAAAGGCGCAGAGTCTGTCCTGGGACGCATGTGGCCCCCGCCCTGACTGTGGGAGCCAGCCATGTGACTAGGTATGAGCCCCAGCCTGCGACAATCTGTGGAGTGTTCCGGCAAAGCACTCGAGAAGTGCCCGGCCGGGCTGGGAGGGAGCCAGCTGTGTGGGGCGCCTGTGAGGGCCCGTCTCCCGGCCCGGCCCGGGGCTCCCCTCCAACCTTTCGCAGCCAGGGCAGCCACCTGCAGGGGGGATTAGCTCCATGCCCAGAATTTTCCAGGCCTGAGGCAGTTTCCTGGAGACGCAACTCCCCGGCTGAGACGCTGACCTCTTTGGACGGGATCAGGGCAGCATCAAAGAGGCCCCGACAGGCAAAAGGGCCAGAGCCCAGTGCGGCAGGCCCGGCCCCTCCAGGGTGCCCCCTGGTGTCTGCTCCGGGCGGCACATGTGGGGAGCGGATCTCAACCCCCTCCGCGAGGATCCTCCCCAGGGCCCAGGGTAGAAGGGAGCCACCAGAGGCCAGCGACTGCCCAGACCGCTGCACAGACTCAGGGCCCTAAGGCCTAGAGCCCACCCCAAGGCCCAGGCTGGCCCGCCAGCCCCACCAGGCCTGGGGGAGCGAGCACACGGGGGGGGGGGGGGGGAACACTCAACCTCTCCCGGAGGACCCAGGGAACACAGGGGTGACCCGGGGCTGGCCTCTCAGGGGCCCTCGAGCTCCGCGGAGCGAGCAAAGAAACCGGCCGGGCAGCCTCCGATCTGGGTTTATTGGGGCGCGGGGAGGCGGCGCCTAGAAGAAGGTGTTGGGCCTCTTGGTGGTGAAGCGCGGCTTGTGCTGGCGGCGCAGGACGCGGTGGGGCAGCGGGAACTTGATCTTGGAGTCCTGCGGGCAGAGGGAGAGGGCTTGGAGGACTCCCACCCGTTCTCAGGGCTCACTGAGGCGCGGCTGCGCCAGGGTTCCCGCGTCAGAGCAGGCGCCTCTTCCCAGCCCCCGCCCGCCCGGGCACTCACGTGGAACTGCTTGACCGCTGGCCGCCGGCACTTGCTGGCCGCGATCTCCTCCACCTTCATGATCTGGATGGAGTGGGCGCGCGCGCGGTGCCTGGCGCCCATGTCCCGGTCTGCGGGGAAGGAGGAGGGGCAGGGACACGGAGTTGCCCGTGACTGGCACGCCGGGTCAAACACAGCAACTGCGTGGGGCCCAGCAGGCACCAGCCACGAGGAATGTAGAACCTCCAAATTCACTCTGAGGGGCACAGCCACAGCTCCCCAAAGGCGACGAGATCCACTTGCTGTCCGCACCTCTGTTTAAACCGCTGCTACGAGCAGCAGCGATTCTTGGGTTTGGGTGCGAGCGGGGAGGTGTGGGGGCCGCGGGGGCCTCCTACCAGGGCCGGGACACTCGGTGCCAGCTCCCAACACCGGCAGGGCTTGAACTAGGTTTCAAGTGGGTTCCCCAAAGCAGCTGTGACAGGCACCCAGGGTACACAAGGGGCAGACCCGGAAGAGTGAGCGTGTGACGGACATGCTGTGTGACCCAGCTGGTCAGGTCCCCCCAGAGTACCCTGCTGCCCCAGCTCCAGCACAAAGCACATGTGGTGCGGGGGGCGTCCTCTACCTGCCCCTCCATCCAAGCGAATGCCCCCGCCACCCGGGAGCCTCTGGCATTTGCCCTGCTTCAGTCTGGG